CATCTGTGCACCTCCTGAAGACTCTCTACAAAAATTAGTCCAAAACCAGTGAGCAAAATTCGTAGGATAAACAGCTTTTTTTTAACATGACTAAAAAATATAGGATATATTTCAGGAAAACCAAAGTTCCCAAGAGGCAGCATGTGAAGTACTTCCTAATGGAGGGGTATGAAGTAATAACCACACAGATTCTTCTCCTTAATTTCCAATGATACAACGTTAAAGCTTCACAACGTCTCACCCCCATGCAGCTCGGCCGTCATGTCACTGATCTGGGTAAAGTAGGTAAAGATGAGTCTTAATTAATGGGATTCCTGAACTATAGAATTGGGGAAAGAGATCTGATGGATTTTATTCCGCTTTAATTGTATACAGGAAGCAGAATTAAGCTACAATGTGTTAACCAACAGAACAGCTGCAAAGGGCCTATATAAAGTGACTGGACTGTATGCTGGGAATTTGTTTCTGAGGGTGATAGCAGGCGTTTTTGTCTAACATCTAAAGTGGCAGTTTCTATTCACCCGGCCTGCCGAATTGTGTAATTCTTAAACCAGTTTTTAAGTTGTGAGATAAACATTTCTCTAACTGTTGTTGTATAAATGAGACTTTATCGCAACTTGATGTTTACCATTTCAAAGTCACATAGGTTAAGTCTTCATGAAGTGTGCACATTCTGTATATAACATACTTAAAGTCGATGCAAACAGTGACCCTCACCCCAGGTTCTTAATGAGTAAGTTAACCGGCTTAATAACCCTCTCCTGCAGAGCTGGGTCAAAGGAAAACACGGATCTGCCTCCGTCAGCCCAGCAGCCGCTGCTGCAGCTCACCGCTCACAGTCAGGAGCTCGGAGGGTGATGGTGACCTTGGTGGCAAGCAGCCCCGGAGGAAGAGGGCCTCAGGGCCAGCAGGTGAGCTCAGGGCACACCCTCGCGGGCAGCACATGCCTTCCTTCCCCGCACACGCCGGGGCGAACCCAGAGAACACAGGCAGCACCTCCGACAGACAATGGCACTCCCCAGGACAGAAAGAGCCCCCACAGAGAACCCCCGAATATCCCAGGCAGCCTGCACCGAGAGAGCACCACACTGGGCAGTGGGAGAGCGTCCACCGTCCGCGTAAGGGAGAGTGGACAGGAAAAGGAGCCATGTGTCGAAAGGGGAACACACCTGTCTTCGAGGGGAAGGGCGGGTATCCCAGCCTTACATGAAACTAGTCTGGCTTTCATTTCCTCTAAATGAAAAATAAAACTGTAAAAATAAAAAATGTAAGAGGTAGGTGACAGAGCACGCACATGGCTAAAAGCAAATGATCGAGCTCACAGACTGCACTGGCAACGTCTTCCAGAACCCAGAACCTAAAGACAGAGATTGAGACTGAATGGACCGTTACAATAGGTGAAGGACAGCACCGGTGGTTCTGAAACTAGAAGTTCCAGAAAGAAAGAATGGCTATGCTGGAGGAAAGGAAATTAATTTTTAATTACCAAAATAATTATCAGTGCTACAACCCTGAGCTTGACTATAAGACTTTTCAGATTGAAATGGCTGGAGGAGAGAGAAGAATACACACAAAAATAACGTACCTAGACTCACTGATATAAATGTCAGAAAGACAAGTAAAAAGAAAAACTCCCTAAAACATCCAGGAAGTGAAAACAGGCATTTCCTAAAACAGAAATGAGACACAGAGGGGCAGTGTCATCTCTCAGCAGCACTGCATGCAAAGAGACCACGGGGCACGCTCTTCACAGAGGTCAGAGAAAGGACCTGGTAACCCAGAATTCTACACCCAAATTGCCATTTGACTGTAAGGAAAACAAAGGACTTCAGAAAGCCCCCAATCTTGAATTCTCACTGAAAAATCATTAGAGGATGGTTAACTAAAAAGGGATCCAAGAACTAGGCATGAGTATAAGAAACAGTGATGAGCAACAACAAAAAAAAAAGAGAGAAGGATTTAAATAAATGCTGATAATAAAAACGATTAATAGTGATGCAGAATGAAACTCACAGTTGATTTCAACATTTGAAGTGGTAGGGGAGCAGGAAAGACAAAAGTGTGCTAAGGTTCCTGAGACAAACCGAGAGAGAAATTTCAAATATTGAGAAAAGCACAAGTAAGTTTATATCTGAATTTACACTGTGCAGATGTGTTGAAATGCAATGCACACCTCGAGGGAAAATGGAAAGTACTAGCAGCAACACAGAGCACAAACCAGCCAACAGCTCGAAGGGGAAAGTGGGGAATGATAAATGGAAAACATAAATCCAGACCGGAGGAACACCTCCCAACACCATGACGGCCATCACAATAAACATAAGCAGGTGAAAGTAGCCAGTTGAATTTGGCTAAAAAGGCAAAAGCCAGCTATATTTTATTTACCAAACCTATACTTAGAAACAAAACGTCCCAGGGCAGTTGAATTAAGAAATCACGAAAGATAAACCACATAAAGGCCAACAGAAAACAACCATCAGCCAAAACAGCTTCAGGGGAAAATGGGATACAAGGAGAGAAGTACGGACAAAGAGGACTGTTTCCTGTTGATGGAAGATGTGACCCACGCGGACCACTGGGCAGCCTGGATAAAGATGCTCTTGCCCGTCACTTTTTACATCATGTCATGGTTGGGGTGGGCGTCTTTGTAAGTCAGTGAACAAAACAAATCCCCAGCCCTCATGAAGGGCTATTCTCTAGGGCCACGGTCGGCAAACTGCGGCTCGAGAGCCACATGCGGCTCTTTGGCCCTTGAGTGTGGCTCTTCCTAAGCCTTAGGAGTACCCTAATTAAGTTAATAACAATGTACCTACCTATATAGTTTAAGTTTAAAAAATTTGGCTCTCAAAAGAAATTTCAATCATTGTACTGTTGATATTTGGCTCTGTTGACTAATGAGTTTGCCGACCACTGATCTAGTGCAGTAGTTCTCAACCCTGGCTGCACATTAGAATCACCTGGGAGTCTTTTTAAAATCCTGATTTCTGGGCCTCATTCTCCGGAAATTCTGTTTCTTTGTTACTAATGTTGTGACCTCACCCATAACAAAGAAACAGAATTTCCGGAGGATGAGGCCCAGAAATCAGGATTTTAAAAAGATTCCCAGTTGATTCTAATGTGCAGCCAAGGTTGAGAACCACTGTGGAAGGCAGACAGAGAGAAAACTAATGAGTAATCAAACTATACCGCGTTTCAGCTGGTGCCAAGTGCTGGAAAAAGAAAACAGGGAAGGGGTGCAGGGAGTGGTTTCAAATGGGGTGACAAGGGAAGGTCTCACTGAGAAGGCGATACATGAGCAGAGACCTCAAGGCAGATTCTGGAGGAAGAACGCTCCCTGCAGAGGGCGCAGCGAGAGCTGAGGGTGACATGGGCCGGGGCTGGAGAGGTGGGCATCATGGGAGGAGAAACATATCCAGGAAACAGGCACTGTGGTTCCCTCCCAGGACGACTTTAGGAAGTTTCAAAATAAGACGCCTGAGATCAACCCCCTGAAAAAGGACATACTCTTAAAGATTATGTAAAAAGGGAGACTTTCAGAAAAGTGTGACATCCTGTCTAGGAGACATGAATTTAACCTAAAGACCTGTTATCAGCCCTAACTGGTTTGGCTCAGTGGATAGAGCGTTGGCCTATGGACTGAAGGGTCCCAGGTTCGATTCCGGTCAAGGGCATGTATCTTGGTTGTGGGTGCGTCCCCAGTGGGGGGTGTGCAGGAGGCAGCTGATCAATGTTTCTAACTCTCTATCCCTCTCCCTTCCTCTCTGTGAAAAATAAATAAAATATATATATTTTTTAAAAAGACCCGTTATCAGATTCCAACTCTAAGTAAGACAGCTTAGGCCTCCTCAATTGCATTTCACCCACAGCGTGGAAAGACGTATTAAAGGAGAAGGGCTTCGTTAACAGGTTTCGGGGGCTGATGCACAGCATGGTGATGATGACCAATAACCCTGTGCCATAGACTTGAATGCTGCCATGAGAGCAGATCTTAAATGTTCTCACCATAACGTAACTATGTGATGAGATGGAGGCCCCTAGTTACTACTATAGTGAATCATTTTGCAACTTATAACTGTTTCAGATCAACATGCTGTACACCTTCAATTTATACAATGGTACATGTCAATTATATCTCAGTAATAAAGTTGGGGGTGGGGGAGAAGGGCTTGGTTTGAAAAGGATTCATGCAACAGGAGTCTGAGAGAAAAATGAGGCAATGTGCTTCCAACAGCGTTCCCGGGAAAGGGTTTACTGATCAATGGACTTGAAAAAGGGTTATTTAGCAGCTAGCTTTCATTTTCATCATAAAGATTGGTATATCTGGGGGTGCTTAGGTCACTGAAATCACCCAGATGATTGCAGGGTCGGAAAGCAACCTCATTAAGTAGTAGCTGCGGGAGGGGACTTGGCCGGCATACCGTACATGAGTAAAATGGCATTCTGATTTATGCAGTGTTCTCAGGTGGCGCTGTCCTTAGAGTCATCAGACTGAAACTGTCTGGACACACAGAAATAAAAGGGTCCTCGAGGCGAAGGACCAGGCTGTGAAATATAGCTATTACACTGAGGTGGAGCTGGGTCAGCCATTAGCAGGCCTCCCAGGTGTCACCCACCCCGAGTCCCACATCCATCTAACCCCTGGAACACGGGGCTGAGGGAAGAGCTCCGGCCTTACGAGAACACCGCCTGGGGCTCTGCACCACCAGCCATCGACCGGAACAGGGCCACTTAATCTCTCTGATCCTCCGAGATTTATGTAGCTTTCACATGGGAGTAACAGAGCTAGCTATTCTGTCTATCACACCGGCTTGTTCTGAGGCTCGGAGTCTAAATCTAAAACAAACAGCTCTGCGAATAAAGGGTTTTAATGCGATCGTCATTACGTTCCCTGCAGCCTGCGTACGTAACTAATACACCGAGGCACGTTACCACGATCATCTGATAACTGAAGACACGATGAAAAACCACTAACCCACTCAACAGAACACAGGCAATCCTACCTCTCAGCCACGGGCTTGGCAATGCTTTCAAAAATGGTCTCTTGGTTTGTATCTTGATCAAAAATCCTTTGAAATCTGCAAATGTGAAAACAGTAATTATCTTAAAGCTGGGCCGTCACACACTATTAGATTAATCTTTTTTCCTTTTTTCTGGCGGCTCTGTAAATGAGCCCATGTTTACGGCACTGGGCTCACCTATCCTAGCACAATGTTGGCCTGTGGTCCCGGCCACACTGCGCTGTTGTCTCCCTGTATACACACGGCGGGTAAACAGTATTGCTTTGACAGGGTCTGCACAATAAATCCCTCTGAAACGCTGCAGCGGATTTGAACCAAATAACAAACTGTGTGTTTTCAGCTCTCAAGAGGGACAGTGTCTGCAATTGGCATCAGATGCACATTGAGATAAGGGCATGCAATGGAAACCCAAGACCAGGATGTAAACAGCCAGAGAACCTCTGATGTCTGACCTGTCCGGACAGAAGGCAGCTGTGAAACGTAGGATGATTGAACTTGGTCTTAAAATGCTGCACTGAAGTTTACTTCCCACTCGTTAGGTACTACATCCTCGTATTGGCTACTTCATTTCCAGGGAACTTTACTTCACTTTGTGGATCATGAGTCAAAAGTCCAAAAGTGAAGGAAGATAGACTGGCCTGCACAGAGAAGCCCATATCAGATTGGCAGGGCTGGGCATGGGGAGGTGTGACGGAGTCAAGTTCACGCTTCGTGCATTGCTGCTCACTTGGCTTAGTGCAGGGTCACACCCACTGAGGAATGCCCAGGGCAGGAAACACACAACCTATTCTTCTACAGTGTGGTGAGTTGCCACCAGCAAGTCTGCCCCCCCATTAAAACATCAGAGAGAGAGAAAGCAAGAGAGAGAGAGAGAGAGAGAGAGAGAGAAAGAGAGAGAGAGAGAGAGAAGGAAGGTAGTATATAAGGTAAAATGTTAACAATTGGTGGATCTCCCACATAGAATATAGGAAGAGTTGGTTGCATTATTTTTCCACCTCTTCAGCATATTGAAAAGTTTTCAAAATAAAAACTGTGGGGGTGAGAGGGATGCTTTAAAGCAAAGCCTTTAAAACAAACACATTGAGGGCATCCTACGCAGCTTTCAGAGTGGCTTGGGAACCTTCGGCCTATGTGTCTACCTAACACAAGTGAGTTGGGCACATCTTCGATTAATGTAGAGACTACATAAAATGTAGAACTGTTTTCACTACTGAGGAGTTCAGAAGGCTATCTGGAGTGGGGCTGAGAATATAAAATAAAATGGAATTCATTGTCTTTAATCAAAATTAATTTCAAAACATCCCTATAGCTCAGGGGTGGGGTGGGGAATGTCCAGCTTGCGGGCCATATAAGGCCCATGAAATCATTGGTAAGTTGAGAATTTTACATGGTCCGCGAATAATATTATAAATATCTGTGACAAATACACTCACCAGTCCAAAACTAAATAAAAGAAAATGGACATGGAGACACAAACTACAGCAAAAACAAGGCATTTAATGTCGGTCTTGGGAGATCGGGTGTCTGGTGGGCAGGCACGCCCAAAGTGGTTACAACCAGTATTTTATTCCCTGCTGTGCAGGTCCCTCCCCTGGTTCCTCATTGGCTGAGGACTGTGGGGTGTACAATCTTCCCGGAACCGTCACCTAAGTTTCATTATTTCCTTAGAGGGTATTCTTTCCTTCCCAGTTTAAGTCCCCTTGTCAGTTTGTCCCTCCCCAACATCCTGTTTGCCTGGGAACTCTCCAGGTGCCCGAACTTGGTCACATCAGCAGACCATTATGCAAGCAAACTACCAGGAATTTTCCATTCAGGGTTAAATGCCTTGCCTCAAAAATGGACCACCACTGACTTTATTGCTAACAATATCCAAATGGCCCTTGGCAGAAAAAAGGTTCCCCACCCCTGCGTATAGCTTATCAACCTCCCATTTGAAGAAACTAACAGTGAAACCATATACAAAGAGAGACTGCAGAGCACTCTGGCTGCTACGTCATTCGGCAGGCAAGATTATGTTTTAGACAACGACATTAACGTGGGTGCCCAGAACACGCCTCACACCCTATCCGTGCACCAGGGCCCAGATACAAACACAGGGGGCACGGCCACTCTGTGCTGTTCAGGGCCCTGCTGGCTGTGACACTGAACACAGACCCAGTGGTGCTTGTGAGGATGAGGATGAGGCTGATTTGGTTCTTTACCAGGTTGACGATGACTGGCTAAGTCAACAGCCATTCCCAGCCCCACTTCCTTAAGTTACAGGAATGACAACTACCACCAGGTAAACCAAAGAGATGGCCGGGGTTTCCATAAACCATACAATAGCATTAAACATCAGATCATCATCCCAAAACATTTTATCTTTTATAATTAAAGCTGCACAGTAATCTGAAAAGGCATTGTGATCATCTATTTTCTGAAAACCTTTGCAGAGCAAAATAGTTTACCAACTTGAGTGTAATCTCTTACAGCAGAAGAGGCTGCTTTATCCTGGGGACATAAAGCCACTGACTCATGGCCCTGGACAAGCCAATAATGCACCTTGAGACATGACTTGGGTTTCCTGATTCCTAGGAGGCCCGTTCATCATGAGGAGGTTGTGTAGGCTTTTTCTAAAGTCTATTTCAAATCTGGCACATACTGACCTCTCCCCACCCAGAAACTGCTCGTCCTGGCCTTCCTCAGCCCTGGAAATGACAACTCCATCCTTCTAGAAGTTCAGTCCAAAACCCTTAGGGCATCCTTGGCTCCTCTCTTTCCATTGCACTCTATACCCAACCCATCAGCAAACTCTGTCATCTCTGACCTTTAAAATACTTGCAGAATCCAACTATTTCTCAACATTTCCGCTTGCTACTACCCTGGCCCAAACTACCAAAATGTCTTGCCTGGTCTCCTTTACTCCCTTACAGTTAGTTCATTTGCTACGTGTTAGCAAGAATGATCCTGCTCAAACTTAAGTGGGATTGTTTCATTCTTCTGATCAAAATCCTCCATTACCTCCCATGGCACTTTGGGGAAGAGCTCCATATGATCTGGCCACTCTGCTGCCCCTTTAACCTTCTTCCTGCTGGCCCCCCCCTTCCCCTACCGCCCTTGCTTACTCTCCTCAAGCCACACAGATGCCTTCTCTTCAACAAGCCAGGCATTCCCCCCTCTCAGGGACTTAGCTCTCACTATATTCTTGACCTGGACTTCCCATTCCTCGGATATCTGAAATCTGGCTTCCTTGCCTCCTTCAAGTTCTTGTTCAAATGTCGCCCTCTTGTCCACCTCCCCTGAGAGGCCTGTGAAACGCTGCCACCTTCCCTCCCCTTTGCTGCCCTTCGCCAGCACTCCTGTCCCCTTCACTGCCTTGTTTGGCTCCAGGGCCCTTAACACTTTCTCACACACATTGTACTTATTGATCTCCTTGCCCATCTCCTCCCACTAAAATGTAAGCACCATCAGAGCAGGGGCTGTACTGCCCTCCCTGCTGTGTTCCTAGCCATGAAAACAGCTCACAGTGAATGATCAATAAACGTTTATTGGTTAAGAGGATTTTTCTTGGGAGAAAACAGCCTTAAAATGCTTACAGAGGTATCTCTGATCATGTGTGTAAGTTAAATATTTTATTAATATCTTTATTTAAAATACCAAACCAATATTTCTAATTCAGAGATTTAGAAAGAATGATCAAGTGATTTTAAAATAAGCAGTCAGCACTTTTTCTTTGTGATATTATTTCTTTACAATTTATTTTTAAAATTTATCTTTATTCTTGAAAGTATTACAGATGTCTGCTTTGTTTTTTTGTTTGTTTTTTGTTTTCCCCATTGAACCCCTCTTCCCCACACCCGCCCTCCCAAGCCTTTGCCACACTATTGTCTGTGTCCATGGGTTATGCACATATGCATATAAGTTCCCTGGTTAATCCTCACATCCCTCACCCCACCTTTAGTCTGTTCATCAGTCTGTTCATGGTTCTCTGTCTCTGGATCTATTTTGTTCATCAGTTTATTTTGTTCATTAGATTCCACATATGAGTGAGATCATGTGATTCTTGTCTTTCTCTGGTTTATTTCGCTTAGCGTAATATTCTCCAGGGCAAACAGCACTTTTTCAATAACCGTATATTTAAATTCTCTCTGTATCTATATCACCAAAAGAATACTTTGGAAAGGGCCAATTCATAGCGACATGGCCAATTTTTCTTAATCATCGGCAACATGCTGAAACAGAAGCATGCTGAATAAAATGTTTTAGCAAAGTGTGGCTTGTAGAGAATGGTGTAGGGCAGCTATCATGAATTCACAGCTACTAAGGTATGTAGCAAGTTTACACCAGTGGGAGAATGCCCCCTTCAGAAAAATGAAGTCACTTACTATAAGGCTACTTCTTAAAGGACAGAATGAAAGGCAATGGGGAGCCAAAAAGGCAAGGTGAGGACCCCCCCCCCCCACTATGTGAGCAATTGCTGGCAATCCTGCTTGTACTTATTGTGAAAGGAACACAAGACGATGGGTGAAGTAGGAGAGAGATACAGGCATGACCGACAAAGGGCAGAGTTGTGAAGACCAGAGAACTTTAAGAGACAAACAAATAAGAGTAAATAAATATGAGGGAGAGAGAGAGAACCATAAAAATAAAATATCCAGGATGGTTTTATCCAAGGGGCAAGGGTTGGAATAGCTACATAATAAGGACCATGTAAAACAGTTCAGGAAGAAAAGCAAGAAAGCAATTAGGATGCCTTCAGCCGCACCCAGCAATCCGCCACCTAAGCACAAGCCACAGATCAAATATGGGTTTAACTTGGGCTCAAACTTCTCCAAAAATCAAAAGTGGGCGTTAAAGGACATCGCATAATCTGAAACTGGAGAATAAAGACGGTATGAACTAGCCATAATCCCAACATTCCAGGCCCGGCTACTGGAGAGTGTTTGCACTAAAGGCACGGGTGACAGTCCAAGGGTGGCTGCTTGGTACTTTTCACCGGAACCGCAGGTTCGGCACTGTCCAAGAGCAATGTAATGCAGTCCATTCTGTGAGCACCAATGTTATTTAAAATGTCCTAGTGGCCATGTTTTTTTAAAGTAAAAAGAAACAGGTGAAATTGGTTTTAATATATTTTAAAACAATATATTAAACATGTTATCATTTTAATATGGAATCAATATGAAAATATTCTTGAGATATTTTACATTACATTTTTTCATACTAAGCTTTCAAAAATCTTTTATGTACTTTTCACTTACTAGCCTCAGTTAGGACTAGCTACACTTCAAGTGCTCCAGAGCTACCTGCGGCGAGCGGCTGCTACACTGGACAGTACAGATATAGACTGTTCATGCATGCGCTGAGGTCTGTATATCATCTATGTTATAAAGAAGGCTCACCTATACGGGATACAGATCGGACCTTAAGTGCTTATCTTGAATAACGTTTAGTCATGCAATGAACTTCCTGTAAGTGCTAACCCCTAGAGAGCCAAGTAGGAAAAGGATAACATTGATGTGGCAAAGCAAGGCTGGGACCTTGGGATACCATGGTGGATACAGAAATATACCCTCCTTTCAGCTTTGGGCACAGCAGTGAAAAGACAACTTAAATTCCATCCGCCAGCCCTAACCGGTTTGGCTCAGTGGATAGAGCATCAGCCTGCAGACTGAAGGGTCCCACGTTCGATTCCGGTCAAGGGCATGTACCTTGGTTGCGGGCACATCCCCAGTAGGGAGTGTGCAGGAGGCAGCTGATCGGTGGTTCTCTCTCATTGATGTTTCTAACTCTCTAGCCCTCTCCCTTCCTCTCTGTAAAAAATCAATAAAATATATATATATAAAAAATTCCATCCGCCAGATGACAGAGAACTGCCCTGCCTTCTCCCCAGCGCATGCTGCTAAGGATTTCACCGTGGATATGAGTGCAGTATGTGTTCGTTCAATAGCAAAACAGATATAAAGAAGGAGAAAGATACACTTACTTAAACCTGTAGCTTTCTCGCTTATTATTCACAAATCCATCTGCCAAATCACGAGGTAAGATAATTTCCAAGCTGGGTGTAACTTTTTCATCTTCATCTATGGAATAAATCTGCAAACATGAAGACAGCAAATGAATATAAAGTGGTGAATTTCAGGCTTGCACTATGACCATATTATTACGCTGTGCACTGAAATCTTATAAAAATATACTTTTAAGATAAAAAGTCAAAACATAGTACAATTTGGGTAATTTTCCTCTTTGAACTGTGCGCAGCCTCAAACAAATATATGAAATTGAACAAGAGGTAAAACCTAAATCAATGCTCTGTCAAAGCTCAGATCCTCTTTGCCTAATCTAATATTCAAATTTGAACATTTTTGAGTACCTCTGTTGTTGAGAAACCAATAACCCTGAAAACAGCATTTTATATAAATACTGCTTTGGAATTATGGACCAGAAATTAACACTTTATTAAAAGCAACAGCTTTTCTGAGCATTTACAAAATGCTAGACAAGAAGAAGAAAGGACTAGGTCTGAGACTTCTCAGAGAGCTCAAAAGAATGCTCTCATTCAAGTTATGTTCAAAGAAGCCCAAGTTTTCATGACACATATTCAGGCTTTTCATAAAAGATATGTGGTTTCAAAAGACACGTATATCTCATGTCTTTGATGTCATTTTCAAGGTTGTACTTCCAGCTCAGCCACTAATTAGCAAATGACCTGGGAAAGTCACTTCACCACTCTAAGCTGATATGGAATGAAGGGTCTTAATCAACCCCCTTTCAACTTAATATTCTCTGTCTTCTTGGTTACCTACTCCTTTATTTATTGGCCAGAAAATATCAAAAGTCGAGCTTATAAAAAGATCAGGTGGAATAAAGAAATGCCTACGACTTTGTGTCCAAAGACCTGGCACAACGCTAATCTCAATTTACCAGAGGTGTGACCAGCCACCACTTCAGAATCTTGGTTCCTTATACCTAAAATGAGGAAAACAGAATTGCCTCCCTTTACAAGATTGCTGCAGGGATCAAATGACGTCATGGAAAGGAAGCATTTTGTAATGCACCATAAAAAGTGTTAGTCATTAGATTTAGAGGTTTTTAAGAAAGACTTCTTGTCTTTCACCAGGAAATAAAATTATTTGTAACAAGCAATACTTCCTGTTTAAGACCCAATTAGATGCTTGATTATGGGGGAAAGTCATATTCCTAAACAAATAAAAGCATACCTAAATCTCCAGAAAATCTGAATAATTTTCCTAAGCAGACTTCTAGTGAAGAATCTCTGTAAAATGACATTATTTGTAGAAAGTAATGGCATCAGGTGCATGGTTTTATGGCTAGGTTTTCTCAAGAGACATTTAAAAATTATATCCTGTAGGTCACTACATTAAAAAAAAAAAAAAAGATTAATGCCCAGAAAGGTGAGTAAAAGGGATTGTAAGACGTGAAACATACACGAGTGAGGGCTGCCACGCATTAAAACAAAGAGCCCTGGCCGATTTTGCTCAGTGGGTAGAGTATCAGCCTGCGAATTGAGGGGTCCCAGGTTCAATTCCGGTCAAGGGCACATGCCTGGGTTGTGGGCTCAATCCCCAGTGGGGGACTTGCAGGAGGCAGCCAATCCACGATTCTCTCTCATCATGGATGTTTCTATCTCTCTTCCTCTCTTCCTTCCTCTCTGAAATAAATAAAAATATTTTTTAAAAACCACAAAAAACAAACAAAACAACAACAACAAAAACCCTGTAGCACTCAATGTTCAGAAGACAAGGAGGAACAGCTACTAACATAGTGTGCAGCATTCAGTGTTCAGAAGACAAGAAGGAACAGCTACTAGCGTAGGAATAGCGACTCTCCACCATCATTAAGCCATTCTTTGGGGCATTAAGAAAAGCCACCTATCACCAGAAAATGTGTTTAGTCCAATAGATAGACTTTCTATCCTTAGTCACAAAAGTATTTGAGATAGAGTAGTTTTTTAAGAATAGAAGACAATTAGATCTAATGAAAAGACGAATATGAAAATATTTCAAAATACACGAAGCAGTATACAAATGAAAAAGCATTGCCATTATCAGAGGTTCATCTTAGGTATTTTCTGATTCATTAGCCTATAAATCACTGTAGTGCCTTAAGAAATAAGATTAATGGAGCAGTGGAATCATAAAATGAAGAGAAAAAACCCACTTTGAATCACTCTTGGTTTAAAGCTACAAGCAGCATTTCCAGTTTGAGAAACAACCATACAATCTTTTGGGGGCAAAAAAGATAGGATGCTAAAAGCGGGATTTCTAAGGGAGAGCAGGGATACACTAACTCAAAATTTGTTCATCTGTGCTCTCTCGGTTTTGTGTATGTGGCATAATGTTGCATCTCGGTAAGAAACCTGACATTATGAAAATACAGTATGACACCTCAAAACACTTGTGGAGTACCAATATACTACACAGAATCCCACAAAAGAAATGCAAAAGAAGGCACATTAAAATACCCAAACATTGCATTTTAAGAAAAGAGAAAGTTCAATATTAAATCCAAGATTCTCCACCAACCCATCCACAGTTCTGCCTCTATCCTCTCACATCACCACATCTAAGCACCTGCTTCTGACTGCAAAGTCCATGTGGACAAGTTCAACATTTTTACTAAGAATCTAGGGGGAGAAGGGGAGGCAGGCATTACATACACCTTTTACATATGATGCACTTTTTAAAACCTTCTTGTACGTGAATGTAAGAGGAAAGAAATTGGGAAGAAACCCATATCAACTTCTTATACTGCTTTATTCCTTGTTTTAAAAAAGCCAATCTTTCCTTTGGAGTCTTCTCCTGCATCTTTTCAATGCATTTCATGAGTAAAAAAAAAAAGTGATGACAAAGACACTATATTCTCCTTATTTGAGGAGAATACATAAATACACAAATTACACATGGCAAATGCTAAGCTATGAGATGCTATGATGTTATATTTATACATGTGCCCAGTGTAGAAGTATCAATATGGGCTAGAGATAAAATATTAGTAATACACCCATTCCAGGCACTGATTAATAAGACTCAGATTGCCCTTGCCTAAATCCTCACTTTGTGAGGCAAAAAAGGTTGTCTGAAGAGCCAAGAGCTTTGGAATAATAATTTTTTTAAAAAATCCTACGCTAAAATCAGCGCTCTGCCACTTGAGAGGTGGGTGGCTTGGGCACATTATTCATCCTCAGACTCAGTTTCCTCATCTATAAAATGAGGAAAATGCCATTAACTTTGCAGGGTTTTCCTGAAAACCAGAGATAATGCAGACAAAGCACATTAGTAAGAATGACTAAGCCCCTTTCCAAGGAGAGAAAACCAAGTTTTGAAACATTTAAGAAGCATTTAAAGTTTCTCTACTCAGAGCAAGGGCAATGTTTTAACTTTCTCTGTACCCTTCTGAGCTCACAACCTAGGCAGTGATGGCGAACCTATGACACACGTGTCAGAGGTGACACGCGAACTCATTTTTTTGGTTGATTTTTCTTTGTTAAATGGCATTTAAATATATAAAATAAATATCAAAAATATGTCTTTGTTTTACTATGGTTGCAAATATCAAAAAATTTCTCTATGTGACACGGCACCAGAGTTAAGTTAGGGTTTTTCAAAATGCTGACACACCGAGCTCAAAAGGTTCGCCATCACTGAGTGAGTGCTCAGCTAATGTTTTCTGAATGAAGAGTAGACGAGTATTCTTTGTGTCAGGATGCATAAATATCCATTTACATATGCAGCGAGCTCATGTTTCTGCTGCGGAGTGGAAATACAGTCCACAAATTCTAAGGGCCTACTGCGTGCAGAGCCTCTGTGTATCTGTATTTGAATCTATTATCTGCAACCTCTCAGACGTGTATGGACACGCATCTCCTGCACGCCTTGCCTGCGTGTGGGACACAAGTCTGAGTGCATGTGTGTGTGCAGAGATGCGTGACCATTTCCCAGGAAGGGGCGATACGTGTGCCTAATTGAGGTGCAGCCTAGGTGAGTGTACAAACACACATCAGGGCACGCGTTTGCCCCCGGGTGAACAGGTGTGCCCGGGTGTGTGTATGTGCTCTGTGGAGCGTGTGTCTGCGCTCACAGGGCTGTGCTGAGTGGGAGTGCCCGGGTGTCTGTCTGTCCGAGTCCTGACAGCGGGGCTCCTCCGACAGAGGGTGCTGGGTTCCGTGAGGCACCCTGCGCCCGACGTCCAGCCCCTCCCCCGGGCCCAGGCCCCACGCGGGCCGCCCCTCCCCCGGCCGCGGAGGCCCCGCGGCTCCGGCACCCGCGCTGCTCCGTCCGACCCGTACCCCTTGCGGCTGCTTCCGGACAGTGGGCTTCACCCTGGCGAAAATCTGGATCGTCTGCTTCACCATCTCCTCCTCTGGCACTGCACTGACCCTTGACCTCTCAGGCCCAAGCGCCCCAAACTTCGGATTCCCACCACCTCCAGCGAGCCGCAGCCTTAGCAACAGTAACTAGGGACACTACCCAAGGAGCAATGCGCCAACCAGGACCGCCTCCTCTCGCTAATTGGTTGCTAATGGAGTGCCCCGCCCCCCATCCCCCAGGGAAGCACTGAGGGGCGGGGGTGAGGGGGGCTGAGTGGAGAGTACTCCGCACGTGCGAGGCGGAGGCCTGGGCTGCAGGCTTAGCTCCAGAGCTGATCTGGAGAGTGGCTACTGAGTGACAACCACCATGCCTTTCCCTGTCCCTTAAGCCATTCTTCCCCTTTTTAGCACTGAAGTCATTCTGTTTTTATTATTCATTCATGGAATACATGGAGCTTGATCTGTGGCAGCAAGGTGCTGGCTGGGTGGGGATCCTGGGCAGAACTGCCTCTGCCCTCCTAGAGATTGGGTCAGATGCGGGAGACAGGTTTTCATTAGGGAATTAGGAATTAGGTCGGGGTAAGCAAGGGGTTCTGAGAAGGTACCTCACCTAGCTCTGCTGCGGAAGAGGCCAAGACTGGAGAGAGGGGGCCTGCGTCCCATGCAATGGTCAGGTCACGAAAGAATGGGCGCCTTGGCGCAGTGTTGGAGGGAATGTAAGTTAATGCAGCCACTGTGGGAAAGAGCAGGGAAGTTCCTAAAAAGAATTAAAAGTAGCATTGCAATCCCACTCACTCTTGGGTATATGTCCAAAGATGAAATCAGACGCCTAAAGAGAAATCTGCACTCCCATATTTATTGCAGCATTCGCCAAGATGTAGACCAACGTAGTGTCCACTGATGGATGCGTGGATAAAGGAAATGTGATATACATAATGAAATATTTTATATTATGCCTTATATCTACAATAGAGTGATATATATATATATATATATATATATTTGAAGGACATCTGGATTAAAAGGACAACTTGTGTCCCACACTCAGGCAAGGCGTGCAGGAGATGCCTGTCCATACATGTCTGAGAGGTTGCAGATAATAGATTCAAATACAGATACACAGAGGCTCTGCACACAGTAGGTCCTTAGAATTTGTGGACTATATTTCCACTCTGCAGCAGAAACATGAGAGTTAACCATGTAGAGCTAGAACAGATGGCATTGAGTGTATCTACTGATAAGATGGTCCCAGTACTGCCTGTGAAATATAAGTGGAACTGATTTTCATATCCTTGGCAAGACAGAAATCGCCTTTTCTATTTGTATAACAACCATCGTGCTCACACTAAAATGACACCCAATGGGCATTAGAAAACTTTCAATGTACTTAAATGTGAGATGGAATATTATTCTGCCACACAAAAGAAGGTCCTGCCATTTGGCAATAACATGATTATAGCTGGGGGCATTATGCTAAGTGAAATAAGGGATACAAATAAAGACCAAGACTGTGTGATCTCACTTACACGTGGAATCTGAAAAAGTGGAACTCATAGAAACAGAAAGTAGAATGGTGGTTGTCAGGGAATGAGTGGGGGAAATGGGGAGATATTGCTCAAGTGGTACAAACTTTCAGTTATAAGAGGAATAGGTTCCGGGGATCTAATTTACAACGTGGTGATGATAGTTAACAATATTGTATTACATACTTGAAAGTTGCCAAACGACTGAATCTTAAATGTTCTCGTCACACAGAGAAAAAGTTAATTATGTGAGGTGATGGAGGTGTTAACTAAGCTGATTGTGATCATTATTTCACAAGACACACATGTATCAAATTATCACATTGTACATCTTAAACTTAGATGTCAATTATATATCTCAATAAAGCTGGGATAAATACATAAAAGGATGAGCACCACAACAGACACTGCTAACACATGAAAAGATATCCAGCATCATTACTCACCAGGGAAATACACATTAAAACCACACTGAGATAGCACCATACACTATCAGGATTTAAAAAAAAAATAGCAACAAAACCAGATGCTGACATGGATACAGAGAAACTGAGTCATTCATACTTTACCGGTGGGAATGTGTAGTGTAAAATGTGTCATGACCGGTACAGACATTCTAAAAAACAGTTTCGCAGTTTTTTGTTTTTTTACAAAACTAAAGATGCAACTACAATAAGATCCAGCAATTACGTTCATGGTGTTTATATCACAGAAATGAAAACTTTTGTTCACATAAAAACCTGTGCATGGCCGAAACCGGTTTGGCTCAGTGGATAGAGCGTCGGCCTGCGGACTGAAAGGTCCCAGGTTCGATTCCGGCCAAGGGCATGTACCTGGGTTGCGGGCACATCCCCAGTGGGAGATGTGCGGGAGGCAGCTGATCGATGTTTCTCTCTCATTGATGTTTCTAACTATCTATCTCTCTCCCTTCCTCTCTGTAAAAAATCAATAAAATATATTTAAAAAAAAAAACAAAAAAAACCCTGTGCATGCATGTTCATAGCAGTTTCATTCATAATAGCTCCAAACTAGACAGAATCCAGATGTCCTTCAACCAAAGAATAGTTAAACAGGTGATGGAATACTATTCAGCAATAAAAATGAAGGGATGCTCATACATATAGCAATGTAGGTGAATTTCCAGAGACTTATGCTGAGTGAAAGAGGCCAGACTCAATTTCAATGCTGTATGATTCCATTTTTATAACATTCTTGAAATGACAAAATTATAGAGATGGAGAGCACATTAGTGGTTGCCAAGGGTTAGGCAGGCAGGGAGGGGGTGAAGTGGCTATGGCTATAAAAGGATCCTTGTGATGGACTATTGTGTATCTTGACTGTGGTAGTGGCCATAGAAATCTACCCATGTGATAGAATTGCATAGAACAAAGCACACACACACACACACACACACACACACACACGTCAGTGCATATAAAACTGGTGAAACGTGAATAAGGTTGAATAAGATGGATGAATGGCATCCATGTCCACTCCCTGGTTGTGACCTTGTACTGAGGTTATGCAAGATGTTGCAATTCGGGGACCTGGGGGAAGTGGATGTAAGATGTCTCTGTATTATTTCTTAACACTGCATGTGAATCTATAATTATCTCAAAAGAAAATGTTTTCAAAAAGAAACTCTTAGAGGATGAAAAGACCAGCCACAAACTGGGAGGACACTTTGGCAAAACACCTATCTAAGAAAGAGCGCGCATCCAGAATACCTAAAAACTCTTAAAACTCAATAATAAATAGGAGAGCAAACTACCCAAGTAATTAAAAAAAAAAAAAAAGGTGGGCAAGGATTTGAACAATTACCATAACATGGATGGCAAATAAGCACATGAAAAGATATTTTAACATAATGAACCATTAATGAAATGCAAATTAAAACCACAGTAAGACACTACAACACCCCTCTTAGAATAGCTACAAATAAGGAAAGAAAACTGGTAATACCAACAGCGAGTATGTATGCAAGCATCTAGAACCCTCAGACAAGGCTGGAGAGACGGCAAGATGGACCAGTCATTTGAAAAAGTTTTATCGTTTCTTACATGGAGAATTACACATATACTTACTATTAGACCCAGCATCCCCACTCTTAGGTATTTACCCAAGTTAAAAGAAATGTAAACAATGACTATTGTGGTTTTATTCACAACTAGGAGCCCAGCGTGCGAAATCGCGCGGCCCTGCCCACCCACCGGCTGCCCTGCCTTGACACCTGAACCTCTCCACGCAGAGCTCCAGCACGCCTAGCCCAGCCCCCAACCCCTCTGGCCTTCTCTGGCTGCTTCAAGTCCTGCCCTCAGTCCCTCGAGTCACCTTGGGCTGGTCCCGCCTCCAGAGCAATGTGGCAACTCCGATCCATTATAACCTCCTGCCTGCTGCACTGTGCTCCTTCCCCTGGCAGGTGGGCAGCAGGGTGCTCTAAGTGTGAGCGGTGGGTGGCAAAGGACTGGTGAGGGGGGTGCTATGGGCTTTCACTCCTCCCCTCCCCAACACAGGATGGTCCTGCCTCCTCTGGGCGCCTCCCTGCTCAGCCCTGTCTCTGGAGCAATGCTCTGCCGCCCACGCTCAGGCAGCCTCCTGTGATCCGTCGTTACACTTTACGGAGTCCCGACGATTAGCATATTAGCTCTTTATTATTATGATTGCCCCAAACTGAAAACAAAGTAAATGTTCTTCAATGGGTGAATGGATAAACAAACTGGTATGTCCACACAGTTAAAAGGAATGGGCTGTTAATGCCTGTAACAACACAGTTGAATGTCAAATTTTTCATGCTAAGTGAAAGATGCTGGACTCAAAGTTACACACAGTATAATTCCATTTGTATGACATTCGAGAAAAGACAAAACTATAGGGAAAGAAAACAAGTCAGCGGTTGCCGGGGGTTGGGGGTATGGAAAGATGTTGACTGCAAATGGGCATGGCAGAGGGGTGTTTTGGGGGGGGGTGATGCTGGAACTGTTTCATATTTTGATTGTAATTGTGGTTACATGACTAGAAACATTCGTTAAAACTCATAGAACTATTTATATACTTAAAGGGGTGAATTATACTGTATATACATTGTACTATTATCAAAAGGTTAAAAAAAGAGATGAGGTATGAACAGGTATGGCATAGCAGGGACCGAGAGAAGGAGAGCCAGGTGTTTGTAGAATA